CCTTACCAAGATATTTTGTGATGCTGCAGTGAGGAGGCGGCGACCCATCTCGCCTAGTGAGGCACTGGGCGTTGCATCTTCGTCTGTCGTTTCACACCTTTCGTTGATGACGTTTATGATGTTGGTAGGGAGGTCACTTATTATTCTCATCTTTTCTTCTCGGTTACCTGCCATGTTGGGTTTTGTGCACACAAATAAAGGAGATCTTGTTTTTGCTCTTTTTTATTTACGTTAGTGACCCGTGTTAGTTGTAGATCTAGACGAAACTAAAAGCTTAACTAAGAAGTCCCCATAGATGGCGCCAAATTGTTTGACCAAAAAATATAACTCTTGGTTCAAATAAATTTATGAGATAATGGGTTAAACCTAGTTAATAATAATATTTCTAGATGTGAGTTCCGAAAACGTGATTAGCGTCAAATGGATCTAGTAGAAGAATGACAGCAGTATCCAATAACTATTCCAAAAAGTATGAGCAATAGATAGCAATAAATAACAATAAATGACATATAAGTAAATATGATGAGTGATTCACCCAATAAAAGATGAACTAGATGATTTTTCCTCCTCACAATGATGAGTGACAGACAAATCCTAGGATGTTCAAATTATTCTCAGATCTGATAGAAAAGTATGGAACAATATGGACGAGAATCTTGATGAAAAGGTAGTGTTTGTATCTTAGCAAGAGAGAGAGAGAATATCTTTTGTCAAAAGTCTACTCTTTTCAAAATGAATGTCACATGCCCCATATCATTGTCTCTTTTTCTATTTATATGAAATATTTTTCTAGTAAACCCTAATTCACTAGAATAATCTCTTTAATATCCTACTTCGAAAACTAGTCGTTACAGCTTCATCAACGGTGCTCGACCTCGACCATTATTGACATCTCGACTACGAGTCTCGCTGCTTCCTGATCTACCTTGACTAACGACGGCTCGAGGACTCTTTCTTTAGTGTTATCTATTCTTAAATATTCTAGGGCAGATTTTGATCCATACAATGAATATAATTTTGGATTGTTTTTGAATTTTTTTGAGTGATCTAAATGAAAATTTTGAAAAACAGTTTTTTGGAGTTTTTTAAATTTTCAAAAAATTCCAAAATTTATTTTCAAGTGGAAATTGAAAATTTTATGGTCAAACACTGATTTCAAAAAAAAGTAAAACAATTTCGAAAAGAATGAAAAAATTCTTATGTCCAAACGGGCTCTTAGAATATTGGAAACAAACACGGGATAATTCTTTGAGCATTGGGCAGAATAAACATAATTTAGGGCCATCTCTGACAGAAATCTGAAGAGAAGTTAAATTTGGCATTGTTTAACTTCACAAATACTGAAGGAAAATAATATATATAAGGTGATCTTATTGCTGAATCCATATTTTCGTAGAACCTTTTATTTTTTGGTGAACTTCCCTTTTCAGGCTTGAATTCGTATTTCAATTTCGATTCGACAAGCTTATGCTATAAAAAAGGCAAATTTAAGATGAAGAAGAGAGAATTAAATACAGTCAAACCTCTCTATAACAGCCTCGTTTGTTTCGATATTTTTTTTTTGTTATAGTGAAATGCTGTTATAGAGGACATGTACAATAACATAATATAAAAATCGGTTCCGAAAAAAACTTGACTTTTATAGTGAATGATTGTTATATAGGAATGTTGTTATAGAAAGGTGTAACTATAACTTCTTGTTGTTCATGAATTATTTCACTTCTATTTGCTTTAAAAGAAAACATTAATTTTGCATTAACATTTATTGCGACCACAAACTATTAAAAAGGTACTAATTTTTTTCTCTGTATACCAGGAGAGTACAAAGCATAAAAGCTTTCTTTAAGTTTTTATCCGTCGCTAATTTTTGTTTTTTAACGATCTACTTAAACTTGAGCTGTTCCATTTTCATCTTCTCCCTCATTTTCCTTGGACATTTCCTCTAATGATTTCCCTTTAGATTCAGGTACCAATAATGTAAACAACATCCCAAAAAAGTTAATAAAACCTAATACAATCAAAGATTTCCTCACGCCAATACCCGGCGGGTAACCCGCATCAGTCTTCTTTGGATCATTGGATTGCGCAGCATATAAAAACCCGAATGCTCCAACCATTGCTCCCGCTTTTCCAGCAGCCGCGGAAATCCCATGGCATGTTGACCTTAGCCTCGCGGGGAAAATCTCCGCGGGGACAACAAATGTAGTCGCGTTTGGACCAAAATTAGCAAAGAAAAAAGTTAACGAATACATGATCACGAATCCAATTCTATTGTCCTTGTGTGTCCAATGATTGTAAGGAATGGCCAACGCGAACATGAACGCTGTCATAAAGAAAAACCCCATCAATTGAATCGCGAATCGGCCTATTTTATCGATGAATACTACTGTAAACCAGTACCCTGGAACAGTACTACAAAGAGCAATAAGTGTTTGTGCTCTTGCAATTTTGTACACTTCTTCCATTGCATTCATCGTTTCGGGTGGTGGGATCCATCCAATCGCGCTAAAAATGTCTTTTTGAAAAAGATTTTGGCTATAGAAAGCAATGTCTAGCAAAAACCATGTACTAGTTGTACCAAGCAAGTGAAGTCCGTGGCGACGAAGGAATTGTACCGTAAACAACCCGAAATCGTTCCCTTTTTCTTGCGCGAGCTTCTCTACTTTTTCTTGTTCAGCTTCTAATTCAACTTGCAAAACTCTCGACATGTCACAAGCCGCCTGTTTCGCGTTTTTGGCCACTAGGGCCGTGTAACGCGCTGTTTCAGGCATCTTCATTCGCCAATAATAAGTTACTCCGGCTGGAAGAGCACCGAACATGACGATCAAACGCCATGCAAGATCGGCTTCAGGGACAGTAGAAGCACTAGCATTGACCTGATATGCTGGTGCAGGGTACCCTGCCTTAAATAAAGCGGAAATAATGATCGCAACCATTCCACCACACAAAATTCCGAAACCTTGCATGGCGAATACAGCAGCAATGAACGCCCCACGAGTCTTTTTGTTAGCGTACTCGGACATGATTGTGGCGGATAAAGGGTAGTCGCCACCAATGCCAAATCCGAGCCAAAACCGGAAGAAGCAAAGGGTAGTCATAACCCCTTTTGGCGTATGGCCAAAAGAAAGTCCAGAGGCAATAGAACAAAGAACCATAAGCATAAGTGTCATTCCATAAACTTTTTTCCTTCCTAATTTATCTCCAAGCCACCCAAAAAACAGTTGTCCGGCAAGGGTCCCACAGAACGCGACGCCATTAACCGCGGCTGACACGTTAGGAGGAAGAGTTCCAGGCTTTGTTGCGCCATCGCGGTGATAGTAAATGCGGCCAAGTAGTTTCGTGACCAAAGAAATGCAGAACAGGTCATATGCATCAGTAAAGAAGCCCATACCAGCCACCACAATTGCAGTGAAATGGTACAATTGTGTTTTGGCAACATCAAGTGCATTTGGCACTTCCAATTGCTCTTTAGCCATGGGTTAGTGTACTCTTTGTCAAAACTCCAAATCCTGCAAAGAGACAGTGTGGAAATTTTACAACTAATAAGAATATTTTTGAATGTATTAATAGAAAATACATGGGATTCTTGGTGTAATTAGTAAATTTGTCGCTATGTAACCAGGAGGTCACGGGTTCAAGTATGGAAACAATCTCTTGCAGAAATACAGAATAAGGGTGCGTACAATAGATCCTTGTGGTCCTTACCCGGACCCTGCGCATAGCGGGAGCTAAGTGCACCGGGTTGACCTTTTTAATAGAAAAAAAAAAAGGCAAGCCCGGTGCACGAAGCATCTCGCGTTTACGCAGGATCTGGAGAAGAGCCACACCCCAAAGGGTGTGATATAGGCAGCATGGCTGATTTTACGGCTCGAACCCGTGAACTATATATTATACAGAGATAATTTATAATTATGGGTGTAAATTGTGTTTAATTATGGGATGGATAATTTGATGTTGACAACTCAGTAAAAGACAAAGGCAAGCCAACTAAGATTTGTGTAACATGCTAATTTTCAACATCAAAGAGTGTGAAAACAAATTTAGAGCCTAAGCGGTGAATAGTCAACATTAACGAAGCAGTTACAAATGTGCCATTTACATCAAATACTTTTAACCCTTAAACTTCCTCAGTTACATTTTACATGACACTTTTTCTAGGAAGAATGGCATATTTATATTTTTGAAAATTATTTAACTTTAAACTTCCTATTTTTGCTTTAGTGAAAAAAACTTCAAGATTAACAAAGAAAAAGAAAAAAGAAAGATAGAGTGTGAACTCATTGATCAAGTGGCTTGTTTTCGCCATGAAAACAATCAAAGACTTGACACCTTTATTTCCTAAAGGAAAAGCCATGCATGGCCATACCACCAAAAAAAAAAAAAAAAAAAAAAAAAA